CAGGGCCTGGGCACAGGCTTCTCTGAAGTAACCCCAGCACAGTGAGCCAGGGAGGCGCTGCGGGGCGGCCTTCCGTCCGTGCACTGCGCAGGCAGCCTGGCACCGTTTCAAGGCCTCGCTCCCACCAGCTCCCCTCCCTTGCCTGCAGCACAGCCCTCCCAGCTCCTGGATCACCCCCAGCATCCAGAACGCGGCCTGCAAACGCGCCTGAACATCACCCCCTTCAGAAGCCTTCCCCTCCTGAGCCCCCACCCACTCCCCCGGCCTGGTCTCTGCTCCCTTTACAACGAAACTCCTCAATGGGACGTGAGGTGTTGGGAGAGCTGAGCTCGGCCACATGCCAGCCTCTGGACTAGGACTGAAGGGGGACCTGTGCTTCCTGAGCCACCTCCGGGTCTCATTCCCATCGACCCTCACCCCACCCCCAGGTCCCGCCCTGCAGCTCTCCCCAGGGCTCCTCCTCTCAGCTCTTCAGTCCTCCCCCTAAGGTCTTTCCCGACCTTGGTAGCTCAGGTAACCCCCTCCCATCCTCTCTAACTAATGCTATTTCCTTCACAACACACCTCTACCTGCCACTGGTACCTGGGATTTGCCACCCTCACATCACCCACTGGAACGGGGACTATAGTGGCTACTTGTGAAATGAATGAATCTCACTTCTGTGATCTAAGTGTCAGGTGGCCCATTTCTCGAGTCAGGGTCTCCTAGCTACTAAGCGGCGGGCCTGCGGTTGACCTCAGGTGGGCCAGACTCCGGAGGCAGGGTCCTCAGACAGCGGCCCTCCCGTGCCCTGTGTGACCTCCAAGGCCAGGACAAGACTGAGGGCTTTTTCCGAGAAGACTCATCTGAAGGCAGCCCTGGAACAGGAGTGTCTTAGGGAATGTCCACGAAGTGCCAGGCACGGCAGCCCCAGACTCCCAACTCCACAGCGACAGACACACGGTAGAGGAGGAAGGAGGGTGCCCTTAAAAACTGCCAGGGCATGTTTCACAGCCAAGTCCAGCCCAAGGCCCCCCAGCAGACCAGAGGGGTTGCTCCACCAAGAGCAGCCAGCGAGCACCAGGCACCTGTGACGCACCAGTCTCCCTCCTGCTGGGCCATCGCCCTGTGACTGCCCCATTTTATAGATGAGGAAGCTGAGACTCAAGAGATTCAGTAATTTACCTAAGACCTTACAACTGGGGGTGCAGACAACCAGGATTTGAACCAGGTCTCTGCCCCGTGCCTGCTGGGCAACCATTACATGTCCCCGGGGAACCTTCCCACTGCCCAGGAAAGGCTCAGTTGCTTGAGTGTCATCCTGTGCACCAAAAGGTCACTGGATCAACTGCCGGTCAGGGCACGTGCCCAGGTTGCGGGCTGGATCCCCGGTTGGGGGAGACAGCTGATCAATGTTTCTCTTCACATCAATGTTTTTCTCTCTCCCCCTCTCAAATCAATAAAAACATATTTAAAAAAAATAAGACACAAGTGACAGGTGCAAAACAGAGGCTTTAATCTGAACAGCAGTGAAGGCGCAAAGGGGCTGGGAGGGCCCTGGGGGCCCTGGGAGGAGAAGCCAGAAAGGTGGTGGTCTGGACCCTGGGAGGGAGGCAGGTGCTGACGGAGCCTCTCCTCGGAAAATTATTTCTGTGACTCTAGTGTCTCCTATCCCAGCCTCTGCCCTGGCCATCGGCCTAGATCCAAGGGTCAAACCCCTGAATTGTGCTTCTCATGTGCTCCCCTTTCCCAAAGGGCATGTGGACCCAGATACAAGGAGGGCATGCCTGGGCTTGGGCAGGAAGAGTATTCGAGTCAGGCCCAGGAGCAACCTTAGAAGAAAACTCTGGAGCTGACATGCTGCTACCAGTGGCCCTCCCTGCTGGGGGGGCCCGCCCATCCTCAGAGCCAAGGCCTGGGCTTGGGGGCCACCACCTCATCCTGGACGCCAACCGGGGAGTTCAGGCAGGTGAGAGGACAAAGGCGTGGGCTTTCTGAGCCCTCCTGCAGCCCATTCACCCACCTTCCACAGGGGCGGGAAGCAGGGCCACGGGACTCGGAAAAACAAGCGGCCATGAGGAGGAAACAAGTGGCCGTGAGAATGCACGGAGAGGAATCCACGTTCTTCCCAGCCACAACCAGCCCAAGGCCCCACCCCAGTCTCTGCCAACCCCTCCGGGCCTGAGGAAGCTTTGGAAAGGCAGGCCTTACCCAATGAGCCCTGAGCAGGCCCTGTGGGGCCCCTCCCAGGAGCTCAGCACCTACCCAAAGGGCAACTTTCAGAGGCTACTCTTGGGGGAGGACAGGTGTGGCTATAGCAGAAGACCCAGCAAAGCCAAGGGCCAGAGAACAGAAAAGGCAGGATGAGGCACTGAACACAGGTACTCGAAGGCCCAGGGGCAGCCGTGAGGGGAGCTGGGAGGGTCACAGGCCAGAACAGCCGATTCTCCCTGCCCCACACCACCCAAAGCTGGCCGCCAGCCTCCGCCTCCAGCCCTCAGAACATCCGGACACCCACCCAAACACGGCTTGGGAAACTGAAATTGACCCACCTGTGGGGAGCAACTGCTCCAACCCCGAGAAAGCAACAAAATCAGCAAAATACCTCCCCTCCCCAGTGGCACAGAACAGCCTGGGTCTCAAAACAGGCCTAGACGGAGGGAGGAGAGGAAGGTCAGGGGGCGGGGCCCAGGACCCTGTCTCACCCCTCACTGACGTACACCCGGTGGAAGTCAGGAAACTGGCCACACTCTGGTCACTTCTCCCAACTTGGGTCCTTAAGCCTTAGGCCCTGAGCCTTCCTAGACCCCTCGCTCACCACCCACCCCAGTCAACAGCCTCTCGTCAAACAGAAAGAACAGAGGAAGGGGGCGGGAGGGGGCCATAGCTAGGGTCAGGGAGGGCAGACACACGAACTTCGGCCTGAGTGGCTCTGGCTGCTCAGCCCCTCCTAGCACAATGAGACAGGATGGATGGGCAGCAGGCTCCCGAACTTGAAGTGCTGGATCACCGGGAACTTCTCCAGGCACTGTGAGGAAGGAGGGGAAGAGCAGAAAGGTGAGGGCGGCACGGCGCCCCTGCCAAGGCCTGCTCAGGCCTCCGAGGGACCCCTCGGACCAGCTCAGTTCAAAAGATGTTCATCCAAGGCTCAGGACGTGGTCCAGTCTC